TGCAAGTCCACGGCCCGGGAGTAGCTGTCAAGCTCTAGTGCAGGGTTTAGACAGGTGATGCTGGCTTCCACAAGGTGAGGCAATGGCGTCACGTTCTAAGGAATCCTAGCAGCACCGGATGGTCTTTTTCCAGCCCAAACTCACGTGTGATGAAACGCACTGTCAACTGAGTTGAATCACACAAGTTCATTGAACTTGCATGCCCCGATGATTCCTCTTCCAAATTTCTTCCATACTTAAATATTTCGTTCATCTCCTTGGTCCGTCGTCAGAGGCGCGATGCCTTCTTGTCGTCTTCGTCTTGCGGATCTCATCTGAGGGTCCTCCACGATCCTCCACTGGTGACGCATCTGATAGTACAATTCCATTTCTCGTCCCCCAGCAGCTTTTGTCAAACTGTTGGTTAACTGTGCTTCGGAATGTACCCAACGAATGTGCAGTCCAGTGTTGCATTGTGCCTCTTTGAGCCCTAACATTTCCAGGTCCGTTCTCTTCTCGGCTCCTTTTATAGTAAGGACTTCTGTGTTGAGCTTGTCGTACACGTTGCGCGAGTCCGTCACTAAGCAACCGACCACCTGATTCACCGTTCGCTCCGCGTCTCTGGAGTCCACATCCCCAAACTCGAGCTCACCCCACTGGTAGCGTGAGAAGAACAGCGTGTCTTCCCCATTCACGGCTGCTTGAGCTTCAGCCGCTCCTGGAGAGCGGCATATCCTCTCCACCTTTGATGAGTGCCAGGCAACCGGAGTAATACGACCCACTGCGTCTTGCAGAACAGACTGAGGTCCTATGCCTACGAAAATCCCCTGGGTACTGCCACCGTCAGGCCTGTTAGTAGATCCCGCGTCTACCCATGCAAACATGGCCAAAGGTTCGTCCTCGTCAAAGGCATGAATGAGCATGCTATGGTTCTTCCTTTGTTTCGCCTGCCATGCTAATTGATTGGTTCGAACAATAGTATCCACGGTACTCTGAGAAACTTCCGACAACAGCAGGCTGACGGGCGCCGACAAATGAGGTGCCGTCTGTTGTGCCAGCCAGCTCAGACTTCCTAGAAGTGCCCTAAGTTGGGTTTTCTCTCTCTCCGAGGTCTGTTCTCTCCTCTCTCTCTTTCTGGCGGCGTTCAGAGGTATCTCCTTCAGAGCTTCCACAAACTGGGCCTGGCTCAGTTCAAAGCCTTCAGCTGTCCTTAGTACGCGAACGCCACACTGCGTGAAGCCTTCGGTGTCGCGCTCCCAGTCCCCCCATTGGAACCGGTCCTTAATCCTTTTTAGGATTCCCTGCCACTCTGAGTCCTCGTCTGAACCTCCGAAAAGAAAGTCATCAACATGACCCGAGATCATTCCTCTCAGACAGCCATCAACTCTCCAAAGCCAGGTGCATGGATCGCTGTAGGATCGCTCCAATCCTAATTCGGCAAGGAACTCCGCCACCGACCTATACCATTCAAGAGGAGCGTCCACCAACCCATAACACGCCTTCCTAAGTCGCATAATGCTGTCTCTCGGTACACCAAGTGCATCGCAGATCTCGTTGCAGGGCACGCAGTGTAACACTCCAGGATAATCCCGACCTTGAAGGAAAGCCCCCGACACATCTCCTTTAAAGACAGACCATTTCCGTCGGGCGGCTTGTTGTAGAAGGAGTTGCCTAGACTGCCGGGACATAACTGGGGCAGTAGTAGATCTATGGGCGTATCCGGGGTCCTGAAAGCCTAAGAGCACTGCTCTTGCCTTAGCCTTCATCGTCCCGTCCTCACGCTGCTTCCAGGTGAGTATCCACCTCATGTGGATGGCTTGCTCCTTGCTAGGACGTAAGGATTCAGGTAATGCTTCGAATGCGCGAGCGGCGACAAAGTTTTTCACCTCAATTGCTTTCGCTCCTTCGAATTGGAGCCGTTCCTCATCAGAGAGATGCTTTTCCCTGACTTCGATCGCCCTTCGCTTCATCGCCCCTACCATGTATCCCTCAAAGTTCTGCAGAGCCTGCTTCCAGCCCTTGCCCGTCTGTGGCATCTCTACTTCAACTTGAACCCCCGCCTGAGGATCACACCAATACGCCTGCTCCTGGCAGAACCAAGCCTCCTCTGGTACCCGGTCGCACCAATGCTCTCCTGATCCGAGTCCCTCGGCCGCATATGGTGTTGACCTACGAGCCCTACGAGAAGCCACTGCTCGCTGTACAGGAGGATGTGACATCTCCTGATCCGGAACTAGTTCCTCCTCGGAGTCATCCGGAACCCTTGGAGGAGCAGAACGTTTCTCAGTGATTCTCCTTCTTGCTGGTTGGATTTCCTCCTCAGGATTCTGAGCTCTCCACCACTCCTCCAGCTGGGGATTGTCCTGCGAGACATCTTCGAACTGGTTACCCCCGATCTGCTCAGCCACCTTAGTGAACACCCAGGGGGTGTTGTCCTGAGTGGAAAGAGTCTCCACCAACTCCTCCCTCGGAGAAGCCCTTCTCAGCTGCTCAACGCAACATTTGATCAACTGCCTGCCGCGTACGCACCATACAATGGATCCATCTTGCAACGTTCCATCTGGGTTCCTCTTCTTTTCGGTTGCAAGAATCCTAGCGGGTCCCATGAACACTCCCTTCTTGGACTGAGGCCCTTGACGGTTCTTACCTGAATGTTGCTGCCTCCAAAAGTACACAAGCTCTCCCGGCTGGTAGTCCATGACCCTTCTACTCCTGGAATTTGCTGCTCGCACCAGCCTCTGCCTTGCGTTCCACTCAGCGTGGGCCTTTTCAGCTTCCGTCCTACGCGCAACAGCCTGTGCGAACTCGGTTCCCGGATTTTCAACCAGGAGTTCAGGAGGGAGATTGGGTGTGGCCACATCAATCCTACCGGTCTCATCAGGAGCTTGTCCTAAAACATGTTGCACCGGCGAATATCCCCTAACCAGGTCTCGCTGATTAAAGATGCGCACAGCTGTCGATAAAGCCTCTTCCGCTGTCAGAGTTCCTTCTGCCCTACAAACCTTGTCCATGACCGATTTCAGACCCTGAACTGCTTGCTCACAAACTCCAATCTTCCAATGGGCCTCCCCTGGAACCAAGTCCAAGAAAATCTGATGCCGATCACAGAAATCCAGAATGGCCTGACTCCTGAAGCTCCCCGCTGGATCCAATCGGAGGGTCCTGGGATTCCCAAAGATTTGTGCCCAGCCCTCTCGGAGGTACTGGACGCAGGTAGCTCCTGATGGCTGCTGCTTTGGACCTTTCGAGACCATTCTAGCCACACGGAACCTTGACCCTTCGTCTATGACCACTAGGAACTGGTGCTGTTCTTGGGTCTCTGGATGCGTCCAGTGCCCCACGTCAGCCGAAATGGTGTGGAACTTGGGTGGCAACGGCTCTAGCGAAGCCAAATGCCTCGGCATGAGCTTCTGTCGTTCCTCGCAGATAGAACACCGAAACTCCGAAGCAAGCTTAATCACTTCCGGTCGCGCATTCCTGCGCTTCAGAGCCGTCACCAGATGCTTGGTGGAACAGTGGCCTGTCGCTGCATGAAGCAAGTATAGTTGCTTCTTGATCTTCTCGGTCTCCTTGTCTCGAGAGGCCTGATCCCCACCCACTGCGAACACCCCCAAACACTCCCTCCTGGGCTTTGGCGGTAGCGGGAATCCGGTACTCCTAAGTTTCTCAAGTTCCTCCTGGCACAGATTACCTAGGCCCCTACAGGTGTAAGCAGACAACATGATTCGCTCTCCTCTCCACTCTGCTGTCTCATGCCATGCTTTTGGCGGAAATTCTAAAACAGCCCCTCGTGTGTTATGGAGTCTCCCCCACACGTCCTCGCCGTGTGGCGTGGTTTTCTTGGTCAGAGGTCGCTCCTCTGAAGTCGCGATTCCCATTTCGCGGGCCTGGATGGTTTCTTGAACCCACAATTCTCCTCCGCTGTAGGAACCAAGTCCTAAGACCATATTAGGTTGGTTGGCTTCATTGTTCACGTCTCGATGCAACGGAAGTTTGTTGTTGACACTCAGCACCATCGAAGTCCATCTACGATGATCCCTGGCATGTGCTTTCATGAAGGCATTCAGATACTTGACACACTGCTTCATCTGTTCAGTTCTGTTACTTACGCCAAACTGAGCTCCATACGCATATGCACCGAAGACATGGTACTGTACCTTCTCTGGTCCTAGCTGCCCTGTCCTTGATGGGTGTGCCTTCATAGGCATCCTGTGGATCAACTGGAGGCATGAAGCCTCGCTGAAATCTTTCTGTCTCAGAAGTTGCTTGGCCAGGTCCTCAGCTTCCTGGAGTTCTTCGGCTGCATAGGTCTCATGCTGTAGGTTCTCGGGTACCACATCCTGGACCTGGGGTGCCTTGGGTGTAGGGTCTCCCTGAATCCCTGAAGCCTGGTCAAAGATCTGAAGTTCTCCCTGAAGACACCAACCGCACTTAGTACCCGTTTGTCCCAACTCCTGTTCACACTGGCAGCATCCCCCTTCTCCGAACCGTTCTGGTAAGGAAGTCTGTCCTTTGCATTCCTGACANNACAGCCACATGATTAAGTTCAAGAGTGATCGCTTCAGCCACTCTTTGAGCATACGACTCCGTATAGTGAACACTGCTGCTAGCGGTACCACCCTCACATCTACCATGTTTGTACTCTCTCGGACAGTTGCACACGAGGTTCATGATTTGAGCCAGCCTAGCATGAGACGTGATGAGCTTCCACCCTTTCTTCACAGTCCTGTTGTCCTCCATGCTACGCAACCCAACACGACAACCATGAGTCACAGCTTGTTGTGCTTGATACTGTCGAATCAGATTCTGCAACAAGGGAAGTCTCCATGCATCGGATTTCTCAGACATCACCCATGCGCAATGAATGCCCTGCTGAATACAGTAGCGATAAACAATGGCAGCTCCCTCAAAGGTCTTGCGGGCCACAGCTCGCTTCCGCTGAAGGTCCTCTTTTTGCGCGTCGGTTCGAGAGTTCGAATGCTGCATTGGAGAGAAAGCTGAGTCTGGTGTGGTCAGCCACACAAACCCAGGTTGTGAAAAACAAACTTGCTGCAAAATCAACTTCACACCCTCTGAGGTCCCAAGATTGGCACCATTCCAAGTGGATAACCGCTTGGCTGCTTCTACACTACCGATCAAGTCTTGAACAGCCGTCGTGAGAAAACTATTAGGTTCACAGCCCACCTCAAGCAAGGCCAATCGACCATACCCAACCAAACCCTGAAAAAGGCTAGGCACAATTTCCCACGACTGTTGCTCCAACTGGCTAGCTCTCCCGGCGCTCAAGTCACCTAGAGCCTCATAGTCCTCGGTAGTGGTAGGAGTCGTCGTTTCTGTCCTCACTTCTCGGCTTCCACCTTGGTGTAGCCTTCCGACGTCGTGTCGGACACTGACTTGGTCGTCTTCTGATCCTTCTTGCGCGGACGCTCGCCCTTGAGCTCGGCCATCTCCTGCTGCAGGTCCTGAACCGTGCCCGCCAGATTCTGGAGAATGGCGATCATGTCCCGGTCCACCACGGAAGGTGCCGAAGGCGACATCTCCGTTGCCGGCGGCGTTGTAGACCCGGTCGCTCCGCTCGGGCGAAACATAGCCTTGGACTTTGGCTGTCCCCGAACTGGTAGATCTCGTTGGCTGCCCTTCCGCACTGGGTTCTCGCGCAGCCACACCGCTAGACGTCTCAAGCGGTAGTCGCATCCAGTCTCCTCGGCATCGGTCTTTAACACCCACTCGCGGTAAGCTGGCTGAAACTCGTTGATGTCCTGGTACTCCAGGCCTGCATGCTTTCCGAAGCCCACATAGTCCTGAGCCATGGGCTTGGCAAGAACACTGGCCCGCTGCATGGCCAGCTTCTCCAAGGTCGCCACCGTCTCGTTCCCCGAAAGGGTGAGCTGGAGCTCGTCCTGACACAGCTGCACCAGGTTGGCCTTCTTGACGCTTGCGCGGTTGATCTTGCCCACCCACTGCTGTAGCTCTGTCATCTTGGCTTCCTTGGAGATCGTCTTGTCCAACGATGGATTCAATTCGATGAGCCTCTGACGTAGCTCCACCTTGGTCCACCGTGTGGGTGGTTCTTCTCCATGTTCGCGAAGAAGCTCCACCAGAGCCCCCTTGGTCTTCTTGTCCAAGCTCATCTTGATGATCTATGATGTCGGGTCCGGCTGTTGCTGGGCTACTTGAACCACAGAAGCTGCTGTAGGACTCGGAGTTCTGAGGTTGCTCTGCGTGTCGATCCTGCCCTGCTTCTCTCTCGTGGCCCTGTGACTTCAGAGATGAACGAAATTGCCCCCCTTCAGCATCATGATCACTACCTTTACATTTGGAAGAGAAATCATCC